GATTATTTTGAGGTCACAGATCCAAAAATTTGTACGTCACAGATTATTTTGAGGTCACAGATTTTTAAATTAGTTGGTCACAAATTATTTTTGAGTCACATTTGTTGGTCACAGATTATTTTTCAGTCACATTGTCAAAATTTTTAGGTCACAGATTAAATATTTCGTCACAGATAACCAAATACTTGGTCACACACCACCAATAATAACCACCAACGTCGCCGCCCCCGCCACAAAATCGCCACCACCACCATAGATCCACCAACAATAACAACCAACACACAGCACACCACNCGGCGGCGGCGAGGAAGAGGTAGAGGCAGTGAGGAAGAGGGTAGAGAGGGAGACGAGAATGAAGAGGAGGAATAGAATAGAAATGATTTAGGTTTTGTTTGAGATTAGGTTTATGTTTTAATATATTACCTGATTTTTGATAAAACAAACTTTACACCTGATTTTTAAAAAGTAAACTTTAAATCCCTGATTTTTTATAATTTCCCCTTAATGTTTTCTGCCATTTTCCAATATTGATTTGGGCTTAAAATGGAACATGTCCCAATGCTCAAGTCAGTAGTCAGAAGGCTTAAAGCTCAATTAGTTGTTTCTTAGGTTGGATCACTTCAATTAGGAAGAACTTTTACCAAGAATCATAAAAATCATAAGAACTCGCGATTTTTAGTATTTTCAACGTGATCCAAGTATGATTCTTTCACTGTTCGATTTTCTTGGGTTGGATCACTTCAATTAGGAAGAATTTTTACCAAGAATCATAAAAATCATAAGAACTCGCAATTTTTAGTATTTTCAACGTGATCCAAGTATGATTCTTTCACTGTTCAATTTTTATTACAATTTGGAAAGCTAACTCGCAATATTTAGTATTTTCAACGTGATCCAAGTATGATTCTTTCACTTTTCTATTTTTATTACAATTTGGAAAGCTAGAATACAAATCAAAGAAACTATTGTGTCAAGTATATAATCTACTTTTAAGCAAATATTTGATGAAAATGAAATCGTTCAAACCAACAAAACTGCATACTTGTAATTATTAGTGGCCTCATTGCTATCAAGTTCATAAAACTTTAATTTCTCGAACCGTGTACTGTAATTAAATTATTAAAAATCTTTCGAATGTTGTCTATATAACCACTAATAGTTATAATATTGAACAATAATAATAATAATAATAAATCTAAATCTTGTTTCTCATACCCATCTCATGTCCAATAATACATAGCGCACATAGCCTTAGGGCAGAAGAAATGCCAAAACTTATATCATCAAAGAACAAGGTTTAACAATGTATTTTACGAAGAATCTTCACCAATATTCATTATTCCGAAAGAAAGAATTGAAGACAAAAATGATTTTATTGAAAATTCAGTTTCAAAATTACTCATTATTTCTACACAAGATTAGAACTCTATATTTATAGAATCTTTATAATTTTGCAAACTATGTGAAAACAACATGAATAGCAAAAAACCTGAAAAATGCGGGTCACACAAATATAGTAGAGACAACTAAATCAGATGCCTAAAATGATGAATCACGGAGTATTTGAGTTGAAATAGGAGAGAAAAACTACCAAAATCGAGAAACCTTCTCCTTGTCGACACTGATGGACACAAGGGACATGTTCGTACAAAACCCGCAAGTTTACGGAATCATTGGCAAGTAATAGATTTAAGTGGGTTAAGAGTATCGCCCAAAAGAAATAATTTTTAATTCAAGTTTATTAGATTTTTATGGAATTCGAATTATGTAAACAAAATAGGGATTTTGATTTGGTTTTATTCTAAATTAATCTCATAAATACGCAAAATTAGGATTTTTATCAAATATGGATGGTTGTATTGGAATTAAAGTCCGCTTATTGTTATATATTTTAATTCTTGATTGATAATCTAGTCATATTTATACATTCTTGATAATCGATACAACTAATGTATGTATCTTTCTTTTTCAAGACGAATTAACTCTATTCTAATCACGATCCGAGTTTATTCTTAACCCGAAATTTGAATGATTAGAATACATTAGTTTTTAGATTATATATATGATTGCACACGTGATAAATGTTATTCCTAAAATTTATTGCATATATGTTAATTAGGTCATGTCTTCATTATATGAGGTAAGATTAGGTCAACACTTTCATTCAAATTGAATTTCAAAAGAGTTCCAAACGAACAATAAACGTAAGGAAAAGTGGATCTGCATAGTTATCGGTATTTTTATCGTAACTTTCTTTCTCGATATCTAATTGAGGTGGTTCAAAGTGCGTTGGAAAGCTAACTTAAAGAGCTGCAATTCTTCAAGACTAGAATTTCTACCATTTACAAGCCAAAAATGGGTCTCAATCTCCGGATGAAAATCTGGATTCTAATTTTTACGGCTAGAAATTGATTTGTGAAAATACTTTGATTATATTTCACTCATTTGACATTCAATTGCATCAAATTGATCCTATGTGATCTTCAATCATCTTTTTGTATTCCGAATAAACTATTGGATATTTGCACTTTGATCCCCGAACTTTGAACTTCTTTTGTTTTTGGCCATTTTTGTTGTTCATTTCTTTCAATTCCATCAATTTGCCTCAAGTTTTCTCAAAAAATAAAGTAAAAATTAAAACATAAAATTCATTCAAATTAATAATAATTATTCTCATTTAATGGCCGAGATAAATGTATAAATACACTTATTAAACGTCTCAAACTTGAGCAATTATTTGTCTTCAAACAAAATAGACTGTGACTTAAAAAAAATCAAAACAAACATGGTAAATAATTTGTAATTGGTCTCAGTATTGAAATTTCTGTATTAAAACTATGAACCACTTCAAAATCACATTTTTAAAATTAATTTCTACTTATCGAATGCAAAATCGACGTGTGAGTGAAGATTCATGCAAAGCATCATAAATTCATAAAGTGATGCAAATCCCGACCCTCAATAGTCAAATTTATCATTTCTTCTCTCATAAGATACACATCCCCAAACTTTACTCTTTTCACTCTTTTCTCAATGTGTGATCTAATGTTGAATTTTGAAATAATACTAATCCCCACCCTTTTTAATTTGGTTGGATCTTACCAATTACAACTCAACACATCAACAAATGAGGATTTTCCTTAGGTTTAGACTCACGTACGGAATTTATCAATTAAAAGCAATAAAATACTTTTTAATTGTTTCTAGATGATTAATCAAACCAGTCAATTTTTCCTAAGTTGAACTTCCACAATTTGTAAATTGAAAGCAATAAAGAATACCAAATTGATCACGAAGAAAACCCTTCACAAAAGATAAAAAAAAACTCATGGTACTTTGTCAATCAATAATCTAACTATAAATGAAATAACTTACAGTGTAGACATGACTAACATTTAGTCCTCTGACCTTCTTCATGTAATCACCTTGGACCCTACTGTACTGCGTTCTCCTTACAGCGAATCCTGACTCCTGATATATCACCTTAGCCCTCCTAGACTGAGGCTTCTTACGCCAGCTCTCAATCCCTGGTATATCACCTTAGCCCTCCTAGATTGTGTATTTATGCACCGGCTCCCAATCTTAGCATCGTTATCTCCGATGGATTAGGTGGTTTGGTATTTGATCAAAAGACCTTGTGTGTTTCGATCTTGTGGTTTGATATGGAACAAATATGGTTTGATCAACAAAATATGTTTTGGAAGAATTTATATATATAGGGAAACATGTTTGTGATGAAAAAAGGTTCAAAAACAAGTGTTAGAAGCAAAATAAGATTTATGGTCGTCGATCTATCACTCGAGCGATAGGCGAGCGACAGCTGAGTAGTCGTCAGTATTTTCATCATAACTTTCACTCCCGATATCGGATTGAGGTGATTCAAAGTGAGTTCGAAAGATAACTCAAAGAGATACAATTCGTCTAGAATAGCCTTGTCCAAATTTTAATGTTTCTATGTGAAAATTCGTTGCAAGTTGTGATCGTGAATTTAGAAAATAATTTATGCTTCTTTTTTACACTCTTTAGACTTTTAATTGCATTCCATTGATCATATGTAATCTTCTTGGATATCTTTGACTTCTTGAACTCTTTCAATACCTATACTACCAAACTCCAATTCTTTGACTTTAATTACAACTCAAATAACCTAGATTTTGGATACGGATAAAACCAATTACAAATATGAGACCTAACATTTTCCATTTCAATTCTCAACTTATGTAATTTAGTCATGTTCATGCATTCTTGACAATCAATAAAGTCAAGATATATAATTTTTTCCAATACAAATTAAATAGATTATAGTCAAGATCCTAATCAATTCCTAGCTTGAATTCAAGTGAATAGAATGCATTAAATTCTAGATTATCTATATGATTGTACAAGTGATAAAAGTTATTCCTAACATTTATTGTGCATATGTTAATTTTGTCGCATTCTAAACTTATTGTGAGTCTTCTAACATTACAACAAACAACTAATTATCTAAATGGTGATCAAACAATTAAATAATGTAATAGATATGCAAAATTAATCAAGAAATGCGAGAATTACTAAACTACTAGTCTGAATTAAAATAAATAAATAAATAATATGATTCATCTTCATCCAATATAAGGAATCTAGCTAAGCATGTGCTCAAGACCCAGTTTTCTACAACGTTAACGGCACGTGAAATGGTCAATCGTAGGAAATAGTACAGCTTGTCAAAGTATGTCGTTACAAATTAGTATTTCAAGAATTTCAATAACATGCTAACTTTCAAAAAATTTCGATGATCGTATTCTATCCGAATTCAAAAATCGGTTACATTATCTCGAAGCTCGTTTCTAGAACTACATCGTAGGTTTATTGAATTATCCAAAATGATATCAAATCAGTTACGACACTGATTAAAGATGAGAGATTAAAGTGGAATTTTCACATTATACTTTATTTATAAGGAAATCAAATGATACACAATTTATTTCAAAAAAATTACAAGCAACAACGCATGAAGTATGTCTAATACGTCACCAGTAACATTTTATATGTAATGTTACACTCAACATTTGGAGGGTTTTGAGTTACAATATATTGATATCAAATTATGGATTGCAATAACTACGGATGCCATGAATTAAACCTCTGAATTTATTCCGATGGAATACTTGAGGCATTAGGATAAGGTTTGTTGAGAAAATATAACAAATGCCATTCTAAATAATATAATTAATGTAATCAATGTAATGAAAAAGGATAATCTTCCACTGTGTTCACGAGACTAATTTTAAATCACAAAAAATTCAGTGACCATTTGCGAAAATATCTCGTTAGAAATATTCCAAAAAGGATTCTATTTCTACACATGATCATTTAGTGCTATTTGTGTCAGTCTCACCGTATACTAAATTAAGGTCCACTAGGACTAAACCATCCGGAAACATAAGCCCAATTCTTCCCCCTATTCCAACCCTAGCCAGATTTTAATTTCAGGAATTAGCCTACTCATTCTCGTAACCTGTCTCTCGTCACTATTTTTTTCTCTCTTAGCAGGGATTTCTTCCACCTTTCCTTCCCCATTCGACGCTCTGGTTCGCGAAATCCATTGGTTTGTTTTCTGGATTCTCTGCCAACCAATTCATAATCTTGGTATTTCTCGATTTCTCTGTTTTAATTACTTTTTTTTTTTTTTTTTTTGGGTTTTGATTATTTGATTTATAATGTAAAATTATGGGTTCGTTCATCCAGGATTCAAAAAAAAATTATTTAAACTTTGTGAAATTTGATATTCGAAATTCGAAATTGGGTAGTCGGTGGTTTTCACTGCACTGCCTAATGATTCTTTCTTTCATGATGGTGAAATTTGATATTCGAAATTTTAATTAAAACCTGGATCCAATTTGATATTTAGCACCTAAAGATTGTTTCTTTCCTGAGATGCTTCAAAGTTGTTCAAAGCAATTAGTTTAGTGTTGGATGTTGTTGACCATGCGTGATTTTGGTGGCTGTGAGGGCGTGGATTCATTGTTCATGAATTGATGTTAGATAAATGCTGGCAAATGCAGCTGACTGAATGAAGATACATATTGTTCAATTCATATTTTGATTTTTGATGGGAATTATTTTCTATGTTATTTGTTCAATTGTATGAATATGTAAATGTATAGCTATCTGCATACTTCTTGTTGAATTTCTATTTTGACTTGTGATGAAATAATGCCATGGGAATTATTTTGTTCGTTATTTGTTTAATAGATTTATTTAAAGTGATTTTGGTAAATAAATTTGTATGTGTTGCTGACCTTTTTTATTGAGGTGGTCGCGCTGGATCTGTGGTTTTATTGATATTTGAAAGCCTTTGTGTATGTCTGATGTGGAGGTCAGTAGAAATTTGAACTGTGATAACTTATATTGCCAAAAATCATATCTTAATCCGAGTCGAGATTCTGGTGTTGATCATCCAACCAACCAAAGATGCATGTTATTCGTTTAGGCTTTTTTCAATTTTATACATTTATTCTTATGTCTGGTTTTGACAGCAATATAATGTGCTCTAATTGTTTGTTCTTTTTTTTAAGACATTTGAAAATAAGGGTTCGGAGGTTAGATTTTTACGGACTTTCGGGACCTCGGCATGTCTAAAATACTCTGATGGGAATGATTGGTCCAGACCGTGAGCGTACATTGTTTGGTGTTTACAAATGGTGTTGTTGTTTGGCTCCGAAGAGAGTAAATTCGAAGCGATGTTGTCACCCTAGTCTGGCATGTATGCGTCAACGCTGCTGGTATTGCAGGATGACGATTTTTCCTGCAAAGTCCTTCAGAAGGTCCTTAGAAAAGCTTAAAGAGAGATATTTGAAGAGAATAGAACCTAAGGAGGATGATGATGGTGAGCTCCTGGACACAAAGGATGAAGGCGGCGATGGCACTGAGGCTCCAGTTTCAAAATTTTCTGGTAAAAAGAAAGGAAAGGCCAAGAAAGGTGGAAGCAATAATGCATTGAGTGCTTCAAGTTTTGGTTTACTTGGAGAAGGAGATGACGAGGATAATGAAGATTCGGGAATAACGAAGAGAATGTTGATTAAGAAAAATCAGGATAATGAAGTAGCAGGTTTTGCACCTAATGAGAAGCAAATTTCTGAGCTTCTTAAAGTTGGAAAGGACAAGAGAGCACTGAAAGTGGCGAAGAGGAAGTTGGGCACCCACAAAAGAGCAAAAAAGCGTGAAGAGATGGCATTTGTTCTCCAGAAGATGAGGTGAAAGTAATATACAGTGTTTCTAAATTGTCAAGTACTAATGCTTTTGCTCGCGTTGTTTCGATGGACTTGAGCCTAACTTCTGTTGCTTAGTGGATATCTATTTTTATAATTCTTGATTTTGTTCATCTGTTTTTTTGCAATAAATAGTTAAATTCATCCATTTCCTGTATGCATGCTCACAGTCTCTTTTAATTTGAACAATACAGGGCTGCTGGAGGTGGAGAAAAGAAGAAGTGAACTGCTGCACTTGGATTCCTTAGGAGAGTTTCGCGGTTTACAACAAATCAGAGAAAATATTTGAGTTGTTTAGCCCCTTTATTTAGTTAAACTGGAGATTTTAATTTTGATTTGACCATTTGGAGAAGTTTGTTGATAAGACTTGTTTTTTATTGAAGGTTTGCTAACCGTATATTTTTTTTACTTGATTTTCACGTGCAATTTGCATTTGAACCTAACTTATCATCTCATTGCTAGGACAAGTCCTGAGATTGTTAATTCTTCATTTTTTCAGAGTAATGCTATTTATCTAGATTGTAGTTGGCATTAAAAGACGGGCACACTTGAATCATTACATGTGAAGTTCATAACAAAGGTTAACGAATATTGTTCAACCGAAGGTTTTCAGTAATTTGTGTTGATGCGTTTGTTTTCAATCTTTCAAATTGGAAAGAGGTCCAGCAATTGGTCCTAAAAAAATGACAGAGAACATTAAAGATTTTTTGAAGAAGAAATTTCGAATAAGAGACAGGCTGTTATAATACGAATTTTGTAAGAACATCTCCGTTGTTAATGTAGATTGCTGAAGAAATTGTGATTTATGCAAAATAGAAAATGTCTAAAAGAATCTCTTTCCAATGTTATTTGATCATAATGTGTCAGTAAATAACCCACCCGACATTACCTGGTTCAATCTTGCACCTGCCACGCGTAGAAGTTGGAACCCCATTGGCAATGGACGTGTTGGAATCTTCTTTCCAGCTGTCCAATGGTACTTTTAGGTCCAACATTAGAGAAACCCGAACCCCCTTCATTTTGGTGGGAGTGTGGAGTAGGTGGCAGTGACGGTGATTGTGGTTATATAGACAACATTCAAAATATTTTTTTATAGTGTGGATCGTGCGTTGCACGATAACCGTTATAATTTTTGTAATTTCACAATTGAAGAATGGCAAAAATAACATCGAATTGTTTCAAGCAATGAATATTTAAACACCCTTTAAATTACACCATTTAAATCTCCACTTCATTTACAAAAATTGATCCCCTTTTATTAAGGAATTTCATCCTTTCAGATAGAGAAATTGTGCAAAAGGAAAGAAAAATAAACTAAGAAAATGATTAAGCACTTGATAATCCATCAATTTCTCGGCATTATCTCTCTGAACAGATTTGGAAACAGAGACAGAATATAGTAACAGAATGAAAATCCTCTTCCTCAAGCTTCTTATTAACCAAGAAAACTTAACATTCAATTACATGAATCAGTAGAAAGAATTTCCAGATTAGTTCCTCCCCAATCTACACTCCCTACCCCAGAATTCTACAACTCCAGAATTCTACTTTTCAGAGAAATAATATCCTATTTCTCTACAGACTTTTACCAGTCTCAAGCTCTCTATTTAGAGCTCCATTTTTCTTATTTTTGAGCTCCTCCTTTACCAGAGTTTCCAGAGCTCTTTATCCCTCATTTACCAGAGTTTTCGAGCTCTACATCAATGATAATAGGAAAACGAAGCCCAAGTTTGAGCCCCATTTTTTCTCCTTTTTTCCCATTCAAACTGAGACATACAAATAAGGCAGACAAGGAACCAATGAATATATTTAAAACTCTACCTGACCAGAAAGAAGGTTACATAGCCAACATTGCTGAGGATCCAAAAATGCTGTATGGAACTGGTCTTCACAAGAACATAGTTTCAGATTTTTTTGCCAAAGAAATGGAGAAAACAACAATAACCAAAAATCTAAAAAAAATGAAGAATCTGAACGCTATGTATTGAAGGAAAAAAGAGATGAAATACATACCTTTTGGATTTATCCTCTCCATTCCTTCCCCCCTCGAGGAGTAAATGAGAAGTTGCAGTTTGATGGAACATTGCACCTTATTGATCTACTCACTGCTCAAGACCACTAATTTAGGACAATATATAACACTAATCTTAAGAGGATTGAGCTCAAAGCTTAAAAACTGGAAAGCAGGGGAATTTAGAAAATGAGATTATACCTCTAGCAATTGGAACAAAGACTTCATGTCGACCAAACTTTGTTCTGTTTCTCGATAAACACTTCCAAGGAAGTTGAATGGAAGATTTTACTTGTTTTTTCCCCAAAGTCTATTGTATTTGAGCAATTAACAACTAAATATAGTAGAGGCTAAAACAAGTCTCTTGTTATAACGGCAGCTAAATGGTGTTGGGTACCTTGATCGTGACCTGGGTTTTCTTGTTGAACTTGAGACTCGTGCAGCTTTGCTGGATCTTCTCCATGGGCAACTGTGCCTCGTAATTCTCTTATGCAGCGCTAATTGAAGAAATTGTAAAATCCAAACAAATAAAATAGCAAATTATTTTCAAGACATCAAAGGTCACAATGATTTGATATTTATATTTTTCATGTAGATGAATAGCAGTTTCTTATTTTACGAGTCTCCAACAGGTTTAGTCATATAATTATTTATAGCAAAATTGAGATTCACAACCTTTTGTTCTTTTAACTTTTACCCAATGAATCATATCACAACCTTCCCAGCTCTAACAGGAAAAGCAGTTATCGATCTCATATGATTCAATAGTTTTACATAGATCTCACAAAAGGGATCATTTATTCAAATTTGGCATTTCTACACAGATCTCGATCCTTTACATATGCTTCATGAAGAGCACAATAATTCATGCCCCTGAGAATCTAAAATTAGCTAAAGATGAAAAAAAAAAACCCCAACTATCAAAAAGACAAAAATGTTGTGTTGATCTTATGTCTAGTATCGTCGATCTCTGATGCATGCACACAACATAAAACCTTAACATGGAAAACAAATATAAAACAGCATTTGCAATTCTCCTAGTTCAAATTCTTTGCTCATATCAATAATAGCTTTAACTATGACCGTGCACAGAGGAAAAGGAAAAGGAAAAGGGGTAGCATGTGTGCATCTGACAAATAATGCTACATGCATAATAAATTTCAATTAAAGTAAAAAATGTCTTACCCTGACACGGTTTGTCGTTCTAACTTGTTCCACATTGTGAACAAATTGATCAAAGGAATAGTAGGGGATCAAACGTGAATGCCATTCAGCATATAGGCCAAGAAGGTGCCGCAGATCATTAACCTGCAGAAATGTTGTTAATATGCTTGAAAGGCGAAAGACTCATCAGTGAGCCAAATGAAAGGGAAAGATCAAGACAAATAACCATATCCTGAATATCTCTTCCCTGTTGCGGCTCGGATACAAGATGCGCTTTTTATGTTACTATGTTTCAAACTGAAGGATTCCATCTAAGGGCTGTAAAAGAGAGACAGATCAATGAATTGATCGCACTCTGTAAAGTTTTAGTGAACAACATTTCCTGAAGTTGAGTCTCAAACCAATTCGAAGGGAATCATAATCTCAGAACATTCATAACACAATTTAACAATCAAAACAACAATAAAAAATTCCGATTCCAAATGAATTCTGTAAATAATCTCGTCTACCAGATCGTCTAATCAAATTGTGCAACGAACTTTGAAGAAATTATGTTTAGAATAAAAATTGCACATATATGTGACTGGTCATTGAAATCAAGTACACATATTCTTTGCTGTAATTACTGAAATAGATTGCTTAACATGTAATCCTCAGACCAAAAAAAAAAATATAGATTGCTCATCATTTTTATGTTCATAGACAGTAGACTAAGAACCACTTGGAACGTGGTAACCTAGAAAAATGCTAAATGTGCAAACGTGAATATAATAAGCATACATCCACATGAGATTCATGTGGTTTCAGATTAATCACATTATAGCAAAAAACCACTTGAACTCTTTAGTATGAAAACAAAGCAGATTTATTGACAGCACGAACACGAATGATTAAGAAATAACAATTTGCTACACTTACCCTCCCACATAATTAAGCAATTCCTTCTGCTTAGGTGCAACAGCATCCCGATTCTTATCCTCCGCAATATTTTGAAGCTCATCTAGTCCGGTTTCCAGTTTGTTTAGCAATTCAATTCCATCATCAACCTTCGACTTTGCCAAACCTCCAACAATCAAGGTTCTACCTTCTTTGAGAGCCCTTGATGCCTGTCTAACATTCTATAGTTCATCGTGCAAAAAGAAAAAAAAAAAAAAAAAGGTAAACCATCAACATATTTCAAAATCTTTTGAACACATATATACAAATATCTATGCTCATCACAAATTTGAGCTGCAAAATTATCCTAAGAAAGATTATTTTGGGGTTTATTCTTTCGACAGAATCAAGGGCTTTCACACCAGCAAGCCCCACACAAAACTCTCTCTTGCTGATTTCTTTTCCTTGATTATCTGTTTTTCAAGCAGCAGCGGTGTCACAGATGGTTCCATGCAAAAAATGAAAAAAAATAAAATAAATAAAACGTCTAAAACATGGGATTAAAAAAATGGTATGTATATTCACAATCATCTCCACCAATAAGACCTGAACAATTGTGGTATACTTGAGGTGGAAAAGAGGACAGTGCTAAAGAAGGAAAAAAACCTCCTTGTAGAAATCGTGAGGAAGAGCCACAAGAATTCCAGCTCCATCCCCAGTATTTGTCTCGCAACCACATGTCTAATATTGACAGACAAATTCAGCAACTCCACAGCCCATCTATATTTATACTCTAAGCATCTCCTTGGATGAGTTTCTATCATACATAAAATATATAAGAACCTGCCCCAGTCCAATCAAATCATCGTAACTTCTTATCAGGTACTTCTACAATGAGAATCCAAATTTGCATGCTTCACACAAATCCAATGATTGACCATGATGAAGTCTTACGCTAGACATTTTATCCTTTATACTTACACCTAACCTTTGGGTAGAAAAATCGTATTTAAGGTGTTCGTTAGATAAATTTCTGTAAACAAGAACGAAAAAAATAATTAACCAATAAGATTAAAGAGCTCCATCCATTTTATCAAGCTTACGACTATGTGAAAAGCATTCAGATGAAAATACACGGCCCAAAAAGAACTCTCAAATTCTAACAATACCCCACTAAATTGGAGAAAATGTAAACTTAAAACGAAAAACTGTAAATTCGACATACCTAAGTTGCCCGGTCTCCTATTTTAGTTGCAATTTTTTGGATCCTTTCTCACACCTGAAGAAAAGTTGCAAATGAGAAAGCAAAAGAAAAATAAAAACTAACTGTAAATGCAAAAAGTAAAAGGTAACAACATATAGAGGAGATCAACATGGAGCTCAAGAAAGCAAAATAAAGATATGACTCACAATTGACTGGATGATTATGTGAAAATTGTATCGAACGGTTCTCTTTGTAGAAGAAAAATAAACAGAACGAAAATTAGGGCAGAAGGAAGAAAGTACAGCTATGGAAGATATTCGGGTCTGAAAAGGAATTATTTTTCAATAAAATAAAAATATAATATAAGACTTTCAATGTTTTTCTTTAATTCGTTCACTGCTTTCAGGACCAAACTTCAATTTTGAGGCCAGTCCAACTCGCTCCCCAAAAGCTTGTTCCTTTTTCTTCTTTTTCCATTCATCTACAGATAAAATTAATGGTCAGATATTGCCATCAGAATACATATACAAATAGAATAATTGACCAGAGCATCAAGTATGAAAAGTTTACTTATAAGTAAATGAGCAAGTTTTAAAATAGATAATTTATGTAGGGGTTGTCTGGTGCTGATTTTTTGGAGGATTTTCAGCACTTTTTAGATCGTTGGCTGGGCACTCAGTCATCATTTTGGACCAAATGTGAGACGTGGGGTCCAGCTATTGACCTCAATGGTCTAAAAATCACAGAAAATTTGGCCAAAATCTTGGCCAGACAAGGCCATATTATCAAATTTGAAAATAAGTAAGTTAATATTATCAAAGTTGGAAATACGCAAGTTACTTATTTTGAGAGTAAGGTAAAAAATTTACCTAAAAAAAATAACATTTTTTACTTAAAAAGTACAAAAAAGTAAGTTGTCTAAACATGTTCGGAAATAAAAAAGTCATTTCAAAGTATCTTCAACTTTGTTTTAACTTTTAAGCTTAGTTTAGTCAAACATGCTTCTAGGAGTTCAGCATCAAAGTAATATAACAAAAAGAATTGCCGCACCCGAATAAGCATGAAATGGAATGAAAACTCAATAGCACATGTGATGAATTGGTGAGAAATTTGCCAAAACATTTGCTCCCATAAGCAAGGTTACACTTATAAAATCTTATAGAATTCCCCTTGATTTAATAAACATCTACAATCATAAACAAGGCATACTACTTCACTTAACAAGCCTCAATAAATCAAGTAAAATTATCTCCAATTTCTCAATCCTAATGAAGATGGAGCATAGAAACCAAAACCATTTACTGGTAGCCTCATGGTTGGCTTAATGACCTCCAACACTGTAGTCGATTTCGTTGCAAGGAGAACGATCACATCAACAACAAAATAAAAATCAATCAAATGAAATTGCATCACTTCACGCCAGTGAAAGAAGACCCGTACAGGCATCATCATATAGCATATTATGATAATCACTACTATAATCAGAAAGTAACAAATCAGAAAGTAAAATATTCAATTTACCTCCCGTAAGTATATATTGCCTGAAATACCTCCTCTCACAATATAAGTTCCTTCGCTATTTCGAGACAAGTGGCTTTATGGGTTCAGCAGGGAAGCTCTTGAGTTCAGCCTAAGGCTATAAATTCGAAGTAAGAAAATAATCAATTGTTGAATTAAGTTTCAATCATTTTGTTTCAAATAAGATTTTTTCTTTTGATGGTGAATTTCAAATTTCCCCGAGCAATACTAACAGGGCCTTCAAGTTCACATCAAAAGTTCCTAATTAGAATGTTATGTGTGTTCCCCTTAGTATATTCATCAAAATAATCAATTTGAAGAACAAAATGAAACAAGAACTCAATTAGAATTTGGGGAATAGGCAAACAGACTTAGGGCAACTCCAAATGAAGCTCTCTGTGCGAAAATTGAATTACCTGAAATGGGCTAAACTGGATGGACCGGTGAAGAGCAAAATGCCAAGATTTTGAAGACTTGCAGTTTATGCTTTGCACTAACTTGGGAAATCTACAAAATTGCCAACAGAATATTCAAATTTCAGCAAAAAGGAAAAAAAAAATTTAATTATTGAACTTTTATCTTTTACCAACTGTTAAAATCCCTAAACCTATTTATCATAAATTACAAAATCACAATTCTTATAATCATAAATCACAAATTCTAAAACGTAAAACTTTCAAGTTTGGACTCACAGATGGAGGGCCTCGAGGAACTTTTCGTGCTTGGGATTAGTCCAGCTCTCCCGCAACTTGGTAATGGTATAGGGCTTTCGGTCCTTCTTATTCGAGTCATCGGTCCCGTTGGAGGTTGAAGCTCCGGCCGTAGGAGGAAACGACTCAAGATTCGGAAAAGCCATACCCGTCGGATCCAAGTAAAATCCTTCCGGTGGGTTCGGGTTCTTCTAACCAATTGCTGAGAAATCAGGCAGAGAAAACCATTATTTGGAGGTAAATATCTTGGAAGGAAATGGGGAGAGCAAGGAAGGAAATGGAGGAAATTTGTGGAATTCTTCAAAATGAGGACACAAAATCGCGAGAGAGAGGAGGGGAAAGAAGAAACCGAATGAGAGAGAGAGAAATGTCGAGAGAGAAATGAGGTGGGTGAAGAATGGATGAGTGGGAGTTTGCGTGTAAGAATGGAGAGAGAAAGTTGATAGAAGCGAGAAGCGTACCGAGAAAGAAATGGCAGGAAAAGAAATTGGATGGGCTCGGCTTACATGACTCTACTCCAAAATGGCTCGGCTGAGGTTGCCAAATGGCTTAGGAATAGTGCAAATAAGTTTCCTCTTTTATATATTGTAAGGATAAGGATATATCATTGAGCAAGAGTCTAACTAGAATTTAGGGGTGGGCTTTTTAATTGGAACTGATCTCCCGAATCCGGTTCTATAAAAACAATATGAACAAGAACCAATAAAAGACCGGTTCCGATTTTCGACATAGAACTGTGGGTATCTGAATTGACATTGATTTTTCCTTTTTCTTTTTGTCTAAGGAAAATTTTCATTCTTCTAATGTCAGTTCTTTTTCATTCCTCCATCTACGAGAAAGTTTGCTAGCTTTCATCTCATCTTTTTTCCTTCTTTAACTATGTTAAGTATTTCCAACTTCAAATCATCAAACCTGTGATCCTCAAATAGCATAAAACATTGTCATATTGAACATGTATAACTATTTAAGTTTAAATACGTAGTGCTTGCCAAATTTTAAGTCATTCGAAACTATATAAAAATAGGAATAACTATAAGGAAAAATTGCATTTGAGGTCCTGAACCTTTTCAGAAGGTGCAACCGGGTCCCAAACCTTTTGGTTAAATAGGCAGTCGAAGGACGTTTGGATGATTTCCGTCCAAATCTCCTTAGTTCAACCCTTGAACTCCTTTTGACCCTTCATATAAATGACAGTTTTACCCCTAATTATTTTAATTGTTTTAAATGAGAAAATAAATGACAATTGATCCCTTAATATAAATGGTCAAAAGAAGATCAAGGATTGAACTAAAGGAGATTTGGAGGACAGTGATCTAAAATCCTTTGGGTGCCTATTGGCAAAAGGTTAGGGATTGTGCTGCCAAAAATTAAAGGTTTAAGACCCAATTGCACTTTTTGAAAAGGGACAGGACCTTAAATGCATTTTTTTCCTAATTATAATACAATTCTATGGCCTTTGCCCCTCTGTTGTTGTCTTGTTGTTCCTGTCAAGTCATTAAAGAACTGCCCACATGAACCTACCTAAAAACAAGTTGCAATAAAGTACAATATTACAAATAATGTCGATTGTTAGAATATGATAAATTGTATATAATAAACTTGTCTTTCAATTACAAAGTAGAAGACTCTATTTATGGGGGTTATAAATAACTCTAAAAAGAAAGACTGTGTAATAATCACACTATCAACTATTAAGGAAAATAATCTCACACAATTGGAAAAAAATCATGGAGATATATTCTTTACAATCTTTCCATATCTTCAACACTCTCCCTCAAACTCAATATGGTGCAGTGACAATCAAATTGAGTTTGAAAATTAAATTTATCCAATCAAATCTTCCTCTTCCAAGGATCAAAGGATGCATCAAAATTGCGTGCATGCCGACCAAGCAAAACAAAGAACTCAAAATTGGTACGAAAAAACAATCATTATCCACCATCTAACCAAACTATCACTAAAAATTGAGGGAGACACCCACAAGTATAACGAACAAAACCATAACAAGAACATAAAACAATTTTAATAATAGACACATCAAGTATAGACCATGTTTAGTAGTAGCTTTTCGAAAATCCATGGATAGTATTGGTACTACACTTGCAAGTGAAGGAAGGACCGATGAAACACTAACATTAGCACATGACGAGGCTAAAACAATAAATGTGATGGACATTTTTTGAACTATTTTGAAATCAAACCATTTTAAATGATGTCGATAAACACTGAATCAAACAAAACCATTGCATTTTTCAAATTAAATCACATAAACTATTTTTGCAATTTGATTTGGTTTCAAATCATAGTTTTAGCGATATAAAAAGTAACATATATATATTTCATACAAGTGAAAAATAAATATTAAATCTATTTCACTATAACACTTAAATTGATATTTTTTTAAACATAAATGCATTTTTTTCCTAATTATAATACAACTCTATGGCCTTTGCCCCTCTGTTGTTGTCTCGTTGTTCCTATCAAGTCATTAAAGAACTGCCCACATGAACCTACCTAAAAACAAGTTACAATAAAGTACAATATTACAAATAATGTCGATTGTTAGAATATGATAAATTGTATATAATAAACTTGTCTTTCAATTACAAAGTAGAAGACTCTATTTATGGGGGTTAAAAATAACTCTAAAAAGAAAGACCGTGTAATAATCACACTATCAACTATTAAGGAAAATAATCTCACACAATTGGAAAAAAATCATGGAGATATATTCTTTACAATCTTTCCATATCTTCAACACTCTCCCTCAAACTCAATATGGTGCAGTGACAATCAAATTGAGTTTGAAAATTAAATTTATCCAATCAAATCTTCCTCTTCCAAGGATCAAAGGATGCATCAAAATTGCGTGCATGCCGACCAAGCAAAACAAAGAACTCAAAATTGGTACGAAAAAACAATCATTATCCACCATCTAACCAAACTATCACTAAAAATTGAGGGAGACACCCACAAGTATAACGAACAAAACCATAACAAGAACATAAAACAATTTTAATAATAGACACATCAAGTATAGACCATGTTTAGTAGTAGCTTTTCGAAAATCCATGGATAGTATTGGTACTACACTTGCAAGTGAAGGAAGGACCGATGAAACACGAACATTAGCACATGACGAGGCTAAAACAATAAATGTGATGGAAATAAATTCGATAAAAAATAATATAATTTTTTCCCCAAATAATTATCGCATCAACTTGGAAACCAACTCTCCAAGAAGGAAGAAACAAGATAGCCAATATCTAACATGATATGATTTAATCTTAAATCCAAATTCAAATTAAATCAAGAACAAAAAAAGACTTGGCCGGACAGAATATATAAAACAGGAAAAAAATTGGTTAGATGAAGATATCTAATCAAAACAAGAAAATTTGACCGGACGAGGGAGACGAGACCACTCGCCGGAGAAGAGAAGCTTGCAAGTTTAACCTAAAATAAAATTAAACCCTCTTTGATACCATGTTAGAATATGATTAGGAATGACAAAAAACTCGTTCAACCCGATACATGTGGGGCCTCGCTTCAAATAAGGCGGGCATTACCCGCCTAACTGGGGTGGAAGTCGTTGCCCCGAAGCAAGTACAGGAAACATAATTCTCGCCCCGTTTACCCGATTAGGAGATTAATTTCAAATTTAAATTTTTTAACAAACAAAAATAAAATATTTATAATCATTTTTAAAGAGAATATGGGTTGTTCTTCAATAATAATATTTACTAATTAAATACATAAAAAATACAAGAAAAAAATAAAAAATAAATATAAAAAAATAAATGGGGCGATAAACGGAGCAGGTGTAAAAAAATAAAAAAATATATAAAAAAAATCAATGGGCAATAAACGAGGCAGGCCCCTCCCCAATCCCTCCTCGTCGAGTCTAGCTTTAACCGAGTATGGAGACGTGACAAACTGACAAAAATACCGGGAAGGAGAAAATGGCCGACCTGTCCCAAATCCAACCCATTGTCATCCCTAATTATGATAAATTGTATATAATAAATTTCTTTCAATTAGAAAGTAGAATACCCTATTTATATGTCTATAAATAACTCTAAAAAGAAAAATCGTGTAATAATCACACAATCAATTATTAAGGAAAACAATTTCACACAATTGAAAAATGATCATAGAGATTATTTTTTACAATCTTTTCATATCATTAGGATTGCAACAACAGTCTAGATAATATTAGATGATAGAGGCTACATGTCATTACTCAAAAAGTTTAATAGGTATCAAACATGCACTAAACAAGATAAACGAGACAAAACACACTGATTTATATTTCTATAGTGTTATAAGTAATTATAAAAAGAGAAATTAAACCGATTGGGAGTAATCACATAAAATCATAGAAAATTGACTGCTTATGATGATAGAGACTTCCAGCACGTGTTTATCCTCTTGTTAGCTATCTTCGATTTGAAAGCACTTCTGACTTAGATATACTGATAAGAAGAGATTACTACCAAATTGGGATCTTTGCAGGTATTTCCTACTAATTAGCTTTTTAGTTCTTTCGTTGGTGCACATTAAAGTAACTTATCTATATTTTAAAGCAGTTTATCAAGAATCATGTCATAATTAAATGACAAGTTATCATTGAACAAAAGCACTTGACAAAATGACCAGAAAAGATCGAAAAAGTCGACAAAGACTGTTTCCCACCTAAACTCCTCGATGGAATACAGCTAGGATAGGAAAGACAGGTGAACAGGGTTATAATTATTCTGATTTAAAATGACAAAAGAGCCTCGCAGTTGGAGTGGTCAGTCTACTCGTGATCGAGAGAGGCTCGCTTATATTTGAAAGGAAGAAGAGGAGGGAAGAGGCAGCAAAAAAAGAGCAATTACCATCATTAATCACAGCGACGTCAGAATAAATTGGAAAAAAATTGATTTCAAGTCAGTCCACGAAAGCCTTCAGATTTGAATCACAGATGTTTCATTTCAAGATTTCTAACTACAAATTTATTTATCAATGTCCATGAGTTACGAAGTTAAAGAAAAACATGCAATTAACTGTAGTACTTTTACTGCCCACTCCCACCTACGACTTCCGGGAGAAAGCAAAAACAAACCTAACCTTAATCTATAGAATAATGCTATTCGTTCTCACT